TAAGACAGGCTTATCCACATACAAAATTTCTGCCATACATAACTTTTATGACTGTCACAATTTCCCTATGACAACCTCGCTGTGACGTCATAAATTCCTAGTTCTTCAATTTTACAATTCTCATAAACCTCCAAAATGGGTCCAAATAATGGTCTATGTTTAGAAATATAAGAGAAACCAAGAAGCTGGGAGTCCTTTGCACTAGCCCAGAGCAGCACACCCCTATTGGCCCTCAACCTTCACTTGAGACTTTATTCTGGATCCTAAAGTACTCTAAATATTCTAGGTCTTGATTTTTATTTCCGGACCAAGTAGGGTCATTTGCTTTGCTCTCCTGAAATGCTCCTTGGCAACTCTACTCCCCAGTTTCAATGGGAATAAGGTGGTGTGTCCCTGGCTCTCCACAAGCCCCCTCCTCAGCCAATATTCAGCTGCTTTAGGATAAAATGGGAGGCTTGAGGACCTGGCCCCAAAAGCCAGAAATGATTTTTTCCAGATGGAGCCTGAAGGGGGCTCAGGGTTGAGTGTGATGGGGCCTATTCTACTTTTGAACCTTAAGTCAGAGAAGTGAGTTGGAGAGACCAGACACATGCCAATGTGTGGATTTGTGTCTGCTGATGGTAGCAGCAGTAACTGAACTGTCAGGAAAGGTCAGGCAGAAATTGGGAAAGTTGGAGGGAGGAGAGAAAACATGGCAGGAGTTAGCAGAGCTCATCTATAGACCTTTTTCTTTTGCTGAATTGCAATAAAGCAACACCAGCATCTGCACCCTCACAACCTCTTCCTGGCTCAAAAGGAGTCTCAGGCATAGGCCTGAGAGGGGTTTGGGCCAGTTCTTAGCAGTTGTGCATGCCCCCATCTGGCCCTTTTCTCCTTCCCTTCTCCCTGTAGACTCCCCAACTCCCTTCAGCTGGATACCTAAGCCCAGTCGCCAAATATCAGCACCCACAAATTGAATCTATTTCTGGGTTGGGTGTGTCAATTTTCACTTGTCTCCAAGTATCTCTAAGCTTGAATTTCGAAAGGAGTGCTTCTTTTTGGAAGGTACTGTGTGTATGAAGGGCCTATGTGCTAGGAAAACCTCCCCTTACAATATCTAGGATCAACCCGGAACCCCTTGGTGAGTCATACTTTGGCATTCACAAGCAGACCGGTCCTAGCGTTCAGGTTCCCTGGCAGCAGCCCTCAAGGCTCTCTTTGCAATTCTTTTACTCCGAGTTCCACGGAGATCAAAGGAGCTTGCACACAAAACAGGCATTTGGAGTAGGGTTTTTTGTTTTGTTTTGTTTTGTTTTTTTAGTTTTTAAATTGAAAAATCTAACCATAAGTCAGTGGAGATAGCTGAACTCTACAACAGCAAAGCCTTAACCAAATAGTGCGATTGTGAGGTGAACTGAGCAATTATTGAGCAGGCTCTTTCTCTGTAAGAGGGATTTCAGCCCTCACCCAGTGGCACAAAAGGGACCGGCCGGGCAGCCGCTCTCCGTCTCTGGAAATCACGAACTCGGCGTGGTGGAGGGGCAGAGTCCCGCAGCTGCGGTGCCTTGCAGGCAGCCAGAGCTCAGGCAGGCAGAGGGAGCTTGGGGTCTGGTGGCTCTAGCGTTGGGGTCCGCGGTCAGCTTCCCAGGCGCGGGGCTGCAGTTGAAGTCGGCGGCCAGGAATGGAGTGTGCGTATCTGTGCTGGAGTGAGTCACAAACGTCTTCCTGGAGTTGGGGGATCTGGCGAGAAAGGAGACTTGCAGAACACAAAGTCAGGAGGGGCTTCGGAAAATACTGTCCCCAAATAAAAATTCCAGCTCTTACCAGGCTCACTTCAAATGTCTCTACAAAATTACTATATTTGAGTAATTCTGAGTAGAGAAGAAAGCAAAGGCAGGCAAGATGAGGCCTGCCCATGACCACCCTAGAAGCAGGAGTCCAGTCCCCCCCCCACTTCCCCTTTGAGCTCAGAGTCGCAAAGACACCCCCCCCAGCCTTCCCATGGCTTAGAGCAGGCAAGGCTGAAATGGAAGCGCTCAGCTCACCCTGGGAAACCCCCAAGTGCCCAGCTCTAGTACAACCCCTTAGCCTTGGAGACTTCAGGCCAGGGACTACCCTACTCAGGCCCACAAAGCAGGCAGTAAATGCCTCTCCTGTAATTAGTGCTCATGGAAAGCATGTGTTTTGGATTGGGGTTGGGGGCACTGAACTGCCCGTGGCAACTTCCCCTTTATCCCTTTTCTGCATTTTTTAATGTTCTACTTTTGAATCTAGTAATTGCAACTCCCAAAGCGAAAATTGCTCTTGATACCAAGCCCCCTCTAAATGCCTAATTTAGAAGGCCGAGGGCCCGGAACATTGGGAAGACCTGCCAGCCTGATGGGGGGCTTCACTGATTTCTCTGGGCTTGTTTTGATAGAAACAAAGAATGGGTGACTCCCTCCTTCCCAAGACTTGTGCATATTTACAGAGCTCCACTGCAGTTTTAATAAAACATCTGTTCTTGCTTCTGCTGATGAGTTTCCATAATTGTTTTCAGACAAATTTAACAGGAAAATATAAATATGTTTAGAAAAATACAAGTCCTAGCACCTCCTTTCCATGGACAGCCATTTTCTCCCTCCCCCCCAATATAATCAAATGGAAGGAAGATCAGGCTCATCTGACCTGTTCTCCCCCCTTGGAGCGAATATTTCTAGCAAATTTCCACCTGCATAATTAAAGATCTAACTAAAAGAAAGGTGATTCTTTCCCCCTCATCTCTTTCTGTTTCTAAGGAGAGTGTTGAAAATTAATTTTCCCCGAAGTTTTTAAGCAGTGGGAGGATATTTGTGTTTTTACTTCCCCTGGTCTCCCTCTTCCAACATTTCTGCCTCCCCCCCCCAGCAGCTGGTTTCTGTTCATTATAAATCCTGAGACCTTTCAGTCCCTGCCCTCTGTTTAGGGATGTAATAAAACACTTAACTTTCAGGGGCCTGAGACTTACATTCTGCTCCTCAGGTCGCCCACCCCCCAGCCTAGACCCTACCACCTTTGGACCCCTAAAGAGGATCTCCCCAACTTTGGATCCCTTTTCATCTCTGGGTCTGCTTGAGGAGGGGCTGGAGGGAGCTCAGGCATCCTTGCTGGGGGGCTGTAGTACATGCTGCCCTAAGCCCTTTCAAGGTCCTTCCCTTCCCACCTACCCATAAGAGAGATTTTAAAATCCACACTCATGAAAAGTAAAAACCTCATTAAGACATCCTATCTTCCATCATTCAATTTGTTGTACATTGCAACAATTTAATATCTTGAAGGAAATATCACTGACATGATTTATCCCTCTAGCAATCTCACTGAAATAGGTGTGGGGGGGGATTTACGCTTTCTTCCTGCCTCTTCTACTTTATGTTGTTCCCCTCAGGGCAGGCAGGAGACTGGGAACTTTGAGAGAGGCTACTGGTGTCCAGGGGTTCACTGACTTGTTCCCTAGCTTGGCCCCAGGGTACTGTTCCCTTGTTATCTCTCCCCCTACCTCTTGCCCTCCAGGGGGACTGGAGCCCCAGCCAGCTGTTGGAAACCTCTGCCCAGGCATGCCATGAATTTGAGGACAGCTGGATTGGAAAGCAAAAAGAAGCACACTGGTGTCTGTGTTTATGTACCTGCTATGTTATCCCAAAATGAGATAACATGTAAAACTCTTTCTTATTGGAAGCATCCTCCTCTACCCTTTGCTCTTCGTCTCCTCGGGAAGAAGAAAGGGCAGCTCAAAGGGAGGAATCTTTATAATTATAGGGATCTTCTCCTCTGAATTCGTCTCCTCTTTTTTTGAAGGGGGGGGTTTAAAGTCTGTCTGTCAGGAAGACTCTAAAATGCCCTAATGAGGTTCATGTATTAACTAACATTTTGTCTGTACCAGTACACACTGTCTGCTTTTGGGTTTGAAACTTTATTTTTTCCCTCTAGCGACACTCCAGGGAAACCTTAACGCTACAGAAGATGAATAAACGAGTTTTTTTCCCAGCATAGTCCCGTTTATGGCTTTATTGCTGCCCATTGATTACTCTGCTTTGTTACACAGAAGGAAAAGATCATAAAATCTGGCGACATCCGGGTTCTTGTTATAGCCAGTCTCAAAAAAAAAATTAGGCAAGAATATGAGCTTTTCTGCTTCCTGCATATGAACCTCATATCCCGTCTTTGTCAGTACAGGCATTTTCAGCCTGTATCCCAATATCAAATTAGGTTTGGATTAATCAGAGGGAACCCCAGCTGCACATCTTTGGTGTTTCGGTTCACTCACTACAGCTCTCTGAAGCCTCCACCAAGCTGCCCTTTCCCAATCTTCTCCCTTTTTCTCAGGCCCAAGGTGGGGGATAAAATGGAGATAGGGGGTGCTGAGTCCAAAGGTGACTGGCACGGGCAGGCAGAAGAACTCCCCAGACTCCTTTGCCAGAGTCTTCTAGCCTCAGAACTCAGATCCAGGAGGCACCTCCCCTGGCAGAGCAGTGACCCCAGAGGGGGTAAGGGAGCTTCTGACCTGGGCAGGGGCTTGAACCTGCTGGAAGGTAACTGTCCATCAGAGCACCACCAGTCTTCTGTTTCAGACTGATCCTATGTGAATTACCCCACCATCCTGGCTGGCTCCAAATCATAAATTCTCACCAACATAAACAGGAGTTGATGTCTTTAGACAGTCTCTCTCTCTCTCTCTCTCTCTCTCTCTCTCTCTCTCTCTCTCTCTCTCCTCTCTTTGTTTTTTTACACATTTTTTTTTTAAAC